AGAGGGTCCTGTGACCTGTTTGGGTCACAACGTTAAGTAAGTTGGGATTTGACACCAGTTCCCGCTAACCCAAAAGTTCAAGTTCTCCCCTGATGGCTGCCAGCTCCTCCAAGGATCAGATGTGAAGTGTTACTCCTGACAGAGGTCAGATGCTCCACACAGACAGGCTGGCACAGGAGGACCTCGACGGTGGGATAAAACATAAACAGGGAGCCAGTGCTCAGAGGGGTCAGCAGGTCACGTGTTAGGAGAACATCCTCCACACGAGACTCCCCGTGTTCAGATCCCAGTTACTGTGTGACCTTGAGCGAGTCACTTAAACTCTGTGCTTTCGCGCACTCACCTATAAAGGAGGTAAAGGCAAATCCCTGCCTCACAGAGTTGACACTTAAATGAGACCTAGTTGCAAAGTGCCTACAATGGTGTTAGATGAGTACTCCATTCAGGTGGGTTCTTGTCATCATTATGATTCCAACTGTCCCTTTCTGGTGCCTTAACCGGCTGTGGACTGCCCAGCAAGGTGTCCCGGACAGGCTGAGTGCGAGGGGGTGGGGGATTGTGAAACGGCATCCACCAGTTCCCTCCCATGGCCTCTCTCTTGGCAAGGCTCCTGTCCTAACATGGGGGGAGTGAGGATAAGTCACCTCATGGCCCTGAGGACTGGTGCTGCACCCCGAGACACACACACACACACACACACACACACACACCTGAGCTCAGGCCTCCTGCTGAGCACAGAAGCACGTCCCAGGGCCTCACAAGCACCTGAACTGGAATTTGGATGAGAAATCCACTTGGGCCATCTGAGCTCCCCCTCCCCAGAATCCCTCCTTCTGCAGGTGGAGGTCAAACCCTGCTCCAATTGCTAGCCCCTGTGGCCTTCCTGCTAATGAGGGTTCAGGGGCTGCAGCTCAGCCAGGATGCTCCTGAGCGGGGCTGATGGAGAGCAAGGACCTAGGGCGGGCCTGAAGGAGCTGCGCCCATAGTCCCCCTCCAAAGGCCAGACCCAGGAGTCAGCTCTTCAAAGTGCCCTGTCCTGGATCCATCCACAAAGGTTTCTGGCACATTCCATGGTAGCTCCACGTAGACTCACCTCCTCCAGCTCTAGGAACATTCTAGAAGATCACCCACAACTTCCAGCCACCACCCAGGAAGTTGGAGCAGCTGGAGAGGGCTGGGGGCAGTCAAGCACAGCATGTAGCCCATCTCAGACTTGGTTTCCCTGGCTAAAAAGAGCAGAAGTGCTGACTCAATCTTTTTTTGCAAAGATAATGGAGTCCCCCTACATCTGCCACTCCATTTCTTCTTAATGCTATCACTTTGTTACTGTGGTATTCTTGCCACAACTCAGAAACCAACTTTTGTACATTTTGTGTGTCTGCATGTGTGCGTGCACACATGCATGTGTGTGTGTGTGTGTGTGTACATGCATACATATGTGGAGCAGCACTGAGGATTGAACCCAGAGATGAATCTTTACCATTTTGAGACAGGGTCTTGCTAAATTACCAAGGCTGGCCTCAAATCTTCGATCCTTCTGACTCAGCCTCCCGAGCAGCTGGGATTATTGGTGCTGCACCCATGTTCAGGTACATTATTATTAAATTCTAGGCTTTACTTAGACTTTAGTTGTTTTTCCACTAATTTCCTTTTTCTGTTCCAGGATGCCACATTGCATTTGGGACTACAAACTCCCAACTCTAAAAACTGAACAGTAAGCCTTCATGCTAACAGCTCTGGGTGTGTGAATTAGCAAATGGATCTTGTGCTGTGTGACTCTGGGCAAGTCCCTTACCCTTTCTGAGCCTCAGCCTCTTCAATTACAAAAGACATATGGCAACACTATTGCTGGTGGTAGTCATGTGTTAATTCACGTGAAGCACCTTGGGTGGCTCTTGGTACCACATGAGCAGTCCCCTGATAAATCTCAACCAGTGAAAATCACAGACTGGAACCAGTCCTGGCCCAGCACATTGTACCCTGCTTGGCAAAAATCCTCCAGAAAAATGGCTGCTCCAAGAAAGAGGATGTCTTCTTGCTGGCTTAGCAAGTCGGAACCCACGTGGAAAGCACAGGCCGGAAGAGAGTAAGATTGTCAAGTTCTCCAGACCCAGGTTGGAGTCCCTCCCACCTGCTCAGCTGTGACCTTGACCTCTTCAGCCTCAGGACTCAAGGCCAACCTCTGGTAAGTGGGGACACCTCGCCCACCTCACAGGGCTGCTGAGAAGATAAAATGAGCCAAAGGGTGAAAGCTGCAGCAAGGGGAGGGGACACTGTCAGCGTCCCTCCTTCTCTTCTCCTGCCTCCTCTTGGAACCACAGAGTCTTTGACTGCAATTGAGATAATTGAGGAGTCAACTGAAATCGGCGTGGATGGTTCCCAGGGTTTGGTGATGAGATCCTGCTCCGGCTGCTCCTAGTCTGGGGGTGGGGTGGGTGATTAACAGACACTTACCTCCCTCGCGCAGCCAGAGCCACATTAAAAAGCCAGCTTCAGAGTCCTCAGTGCTGAGGTGCCTGTGCTCATCCAGAATGCCAGCCAGCCAGGACCCAAACATGCTGTGTCTAGGTTAGGGGCGTTTTGCTTTTGTTTTGTGGTGCTTGGGAATGAACCCAGGGCCTCATGCATGCTAGGTGAGTGCTCTACCACTGAGCTCCAACTCCAGCCAAGTTAGGATCATTGCCCTTCCTCTCCCCTCCCCTCCTCCCCCCTCCCCTCCCACCCTCCCTATTTTAAAACTGGATCTTGCACAGGGTACCTTCTCAAGTGTGTGTAATCAGGAGGCTTAAGTAGGAATATTACAAATTTTAGGTTGATCTCAGCAATTTAGAAAGATCCTGTTCCAAAATAAAATATAAAAACAACTGGAGATATAACTCAGTGGTAAAGAGTCCCTGGGTTTGATCCCCAGTACAAAAAAAAAGAAAGATTAGTTCTCACTAAATTGCCCAGGCTGGCCTCATACTTTTGATCCTCCTACCTCAGCCTCCCAAGTGGATGGTATTACAGAGGCTGTACTGCCACACTAGGCTGTACTGAGTTATTTGAAGACATGAATGGAGCTGATAATCAGCATTTGCATTTGTCTTAACACATTCTTTCATTGCCATTCCTACCAGAAGACTATCTCAGCGCTCTGTGAGAACCTTGGGCTCCCAGGACCCAAGTTCCTGTGCTGGCTCGGAGCTGCTTGCTCCTGAGTGACTACTGAAAGACATTTGAGCCTTAGTTTTTCCAACTATAAAGTAAGGAGAATATTTGACTTTCCTATTTCACTCAACGGCTGTGCATACAAAGGTGGAGAGAAAGAGAAACTTTTGGAAAATATGATGTGAATTAAGTGATAGGAAAGACTAAAACTTCTAGAAAGTATGATATGGAGATGTTGCTTGAAGGATTTACTCAAAATGCAAGACTTCTGAGAAGTGATCAGCACATTCCAACCTTCCATAATCCAACTGCTTGCGATTGCCCCAGATTTGTTCCACCCTTAGAAGAGATTAAATTTATGGATTTGTGGCACTGTGTGTCAATCCAGCCAATCCCGACCCATATTTCTCTCCCCTTGGTGCATGTAACAACAGTACAAAGGGGTGTTGTAACCTTAATTGCTTGCAAAGTGTTTTGAAATCCTTAGATTAAAAGCTCCGGGGAAGTCCAAAGTATTCGCATTGCGTGCCCAGGGAGTTACGCTGAGTCTCGTCTGGGTTCACTGGAGCAGGGAGGCTGCGATGTGTGTTCTGAGCTCGCTCAGGGAACTTTGGGTTTTCAGTCTTGAGCAGGCCCTAGACTAGCCACCAGCTTCCGAGTTTCTTAGCTACCCAGGCGTGTGGCCCTTTCCCACGCAGCTTCTGATGGGCTTTTCCCATGTAAGCTCCCTGGATCACGCGGCCTAATTTGTATTAACTTCAGTGTCACGGGTCTGCTATCCTTGGTGATCTCAGTCCGAGTCCTGGCAAAGGACAGTTGTGTCACTTGAGGCCTCTGCATGGCTCGGCACACAAGTCCAGAGCTGGGGAGTTGGTCCTGATGAGTACTAACCCCTGAGAGTGAGATCCTGTCCCATGGTGGTCGCCCTTGCAGCGGGTGCCAGCAGGGACAGAGAGGGGAAGGAGGGGCCTCCAGCCAAGTGCTGGTTACACAGGTGTGTTCAGTTTGTGAAAATTCACTGAACTACACCCTTCTACACACACTCTTCTTAAGAGGTGCTACACTTTACAATGTATTTTTTGTTTGTTTTTGCCATGCTGGGGACAGAGCCCAGGGCCTCGTGCTCGAACACTGAGCTATATATACCCCAGCCTTACAGTCTATAAAGTGTTTTTCAGAATCGCTCGGGATGCTAATTTACTTTGTTTAGAGGACATTCTGAAGTACAAGTGAAATGAAGCTATAAACCTAATTTTAAAAAAAAAAAACAACTCTTTTCCAACTTTTGTGATATAAATGTCTCTTAGACAAATTTTCCTTGTTTTCATTTCCCTTTTACATTTATAGGAAAAGGGAAAAATATCTCTATTACCCATCTTATTTAGTTCTAAAGTAGGGGTGATTCTCAGCAGGAGGCCCCCCCTGAGGTCTTCTGGCCTCTAAGTGAACTTCCACAAAGCCGAACAAATTCTGTTGGGGACATGTAATATGGTTCTGGAGTGTTCGTAGCCTGTGTCAAATTCTCTAAGGCCCCTGGTCCAAAAAAGCCCAAGGGAATCTTAGAAACTGAGGCGCCCTCAAGCATTCTCCCTGAAACGCTTCTCCAAGCACCCACCCACTGGGTCACCCAAGCACCCACCCACTGGGTCACCGCAGAGCACCAGCCACCTGAGTGAACCTAGTCACTGGAGTGAAAAATGAAGGGGTCCAGCCTATCAAAGGTCATCCTCAGTGGTCACTATCTGTCTAGTCTCCCTCCAGCAGCTCTGAGCCCTGAAATGGGAGAGCTTGGCATTCCCGGGACTGCAAAAGGCACAGGCAGATGGCACTAGCAGGATATCCACCACACCTTTTTTACGAAACCAGATTTATTAAAATTTCTCTACAAGTCAGCCACGGCCGTTTCACCGTTCACATATCTACACATATACAGGAAGGATCTAGTGTTTCTAGCTGTCCCAGCTAAGTCCCTGCCAGCCGGGTAACGTATCACAAGATACAACAGTCGCACAACCACCTGCACACGAGTGTGACAGATGCCGTCCTCCCTCCTCTCGGAGCCCCACAGCTCTGTCAAGGCCACCTCGCCGACAACCATTCACATTTCACGTGGTTCTAGACACGCAGGTTATTCAGACAGACACACACAACACGACAAGCCTCAATCGAAGACAAAAATCGGACATAGGTATAAAAGGTAAAATATATGTACAGAGTACACAGTACATGAGGTATACACAGCATTCTTACAATGCAGGTTAGTAGTTCGCGTAGGCGTAGCCCTTGAAGATGCCTGCCTGGTTTGTGCCATTTCTTCAAATACAGTATATTTGTTTACCCGTTTATCCACCTGATTTCGGCACCGTCTGAGACAGCGACTGACTCTTCATCTGTCCTTGTTTTTTAATGCAAGTTGAAGTCTCTCCGTGAAGCTCTACCTTTTGTAGGGAGTGAGTTTCTGTCTCTGGAAGCATTCAAACAGAGGTTGGATTCTCACCTGGGAAAGAAGCTGAAGGTGAGGATTTCTGCAGTGGGAGGTGGCAGCGAGAAGTTGGATCGGATGATTGTCAAAGTCCTTCCAACTTGAAATACCTGGGGCTCACTATTCACCCCAGCAGCCGGCTACACAGATGTGTAGTCAGAGAGTACCAACAACCCACCATGCAAAACCCCAAGTGCACCCAGGATGCCCACACAGGGCGGGGCACAGTATCATTCTGGAACTTAGTCTGGGAATCCTAATGCTGTCCAAAATTCACTTTCTTTAAAGCACAAAGAGGTTTACCCTTTGCTCCTGGGAGAGCGGGGTGGGGAGTCTCCTTTCTCTTCCTGGACAAAATGTTCCACCCTGAGATGATCTTGTGGGGGAAAATTAAAGGCTAAGCCCCAGCACACTAGAAGGAAACTGAAAATGCCAAAGGTTTCCAAGTGATCAAATTGGTTTTTTTGTTTGTTTTTTAATGGCAGTCTCTATTGGAGCTCAGAGTTCTGAAATAGCCAAGAGTTCCGCATTTTTTCTGCACTTTTCAACGATTAGCTGGCAAGTACTTTCATAGCTGCAGGGGGCAAGTTTCAAGGTCAAGGACAAAGCATTATTGCATGTGAGATGGGGGCAGGGTAGGAGTAGAGTGGGGTCAGGGTTCAGGCAGGCTCCTGAGCTCCTCAGTCTGCTCAGACAACAGAGCAGAGTCGTTGGTAAGTGTGACCATGAGGCAAAGACAGATGTCGCAACAAACCAAGAGCAAGAGCGAGCTTTCTGATGGGAGAAACTGCAGCGACAAGTCCAGCTACAAAGGAGTTTTTTTCTAAGATGGCAGGCTTATTGACCCAAGTGATCTGCCACCCCATTAAAACATGGTTATTGCCCAAAATGCCACTGGGTGACTTCCTGCCTTTCCCATGTGAATGTTCAAGTTCATGACAGTTGACCACACAGCGTGGGATGTCCACGCTACCCTCTTTGCCACCTTTGAAAGACACAGAACCCCCCAGATCTGACAAAGACAGAGTTGAGGGTAGTTGGTAAAGAAGGGAACGACTTTGCAGTTAAAGTCAGAGGGTCGTGCTGCTCAGATCAACAGTCACTCCTCCCCAACTGTGAGAGAGGGTTCCACGGTGAGTTCTGCGGAGACAACCTTGGTGCCGACCGGACTTCTGGCTGGCACCATGCCAGAGGGCCCGTCCATCTTTAGAAATGGAAATGCCATGAGTGAGAATTATGAGGTTTCTGAGGTTTTTGGGATTAGCAGAAGAAGGAACTCATGTCACTGTCCTCCTCGTACTCTGGAACAATCTGGTCTGAAGTTCCTATTTCTGAGTCAACGTACCCAGGCTCCAGGGCAGACTCAAACCAGGGATGGAGTAAGATTTCAGGAGCAGTGAGTCTCTCGGAAGGCTCTCGTCTCAGGAGGCTGCGAATGAGGCACCTGGCTTTGGGGGAAATGTGGTCGGGAATGCAGAACTGTCCGCGTCGGATTTTGGAGAAGAGAGCACTAGGGTCCGAGTCATGGAAGGGGTATCGTCCGACCAAAAGTGTGTAGAGCATCACCCCGAGGCTCCAAACGTCCGCCGCCTTTCCGGAGTAGGTCCCGGTGGTGTTGAGGATCTCGGGGCTCACATAAGCTGGGCAGCCATGCTTGTCTGACAAAGCATCATCTTCGCCCTTGATGATGTGCGTATCTTCCAGACTTTCCAGTCTGAGCTGGGTTCTGCGGCGGAGAGAAACCAAGCTGTTATTTCCAGACCAGCTGCCATGAAACCCAAGGCCTTCCCAGGAATAGTGCCCAGGAATGCCATTTACCCCTTCATCCAGTAAGCAGTTCCCTGCAAGTACCCAGGACTTGGATTTCACAAACCAATACAAACTGCAATACGTGTTTGCAAAGTATGGAGAGCGCGCTTGGGGTGGAGGGTATGATGCAAAGTCCCAAATAGTATTCATGATGCTAGAGCTTGTGAGAGATATCCTAATAGGGCTTACACAACTGACAAAGTTCACATTGCAGAAGCAGGAGCTCATCTCAGGGGAATGCTGACATTTTCTACAAAAGCCATCTGGGGAGAGCAGTATAACCTACTTCCTCAGAGAGGGGGCTGAGCATCCTACAAGCCCGTCTTCCCTCTAACATGACATCGATCGCTGAGACACTCGCTCTGCCCAAACGTCACTCATTATGCGCCATCTGTCAGTGCCGCAGCCCACACTGAACATACACACAGAGGAAACTCTGTCCACCTGGGTCCTAGCTGTGATAACCACAGTGGGAAAGCTCTAAGGTATGTTAATTGCATTTACTGGATGTTTCATTGCAAAGAACACTTAGCCTGGACATAGAGGTTACGTGAACAAATGTGGCTTGGGGGTTTGCGGGATGCTAGACACATGTGCCCTAGCACAGCACGTCCGTGTGCAAGCCATTTATTCTATGTGGGGGTCTCTGTCAAAGTAACAATACAGTCCAAAAAAGTCAAAGGCTCCCTTAAGAAACTTCCGGTGGCTCCTTACTTGAAATCAGCCACCCAAGTCTCCCGCATCCCCCAAAGCCCAAAGCCACGTGGGGGAACCTCTAATATCCGGTGGTGGCTTGCCTTTCTCTGATTCTCTGAAATAACCCTGTTTCTGTAAGTCACTCATTGTGAAGTTAAATGCAAACATTTGGTACTGGCTGATGGGTCAATTCCTTTTCCTCTTAAAGGTCTGGTAGTGTTTTTTTTCCCTCTTCCGGCCTTCCTGTTCCCTGGAGTGTAGTATACATGTGCTAACTTCAGTTTGTCCTCAGCATGACCTCCCTGTCGTTATGTAAAATACCCATTGGTTCTGTAAACGGAAAATATGACTCAACCCACACTGTCTGCCCCTGATTGGCTGCTGTAGTACTAAAACCCTGCACCTGTGCTGGTTACACGAATAGCGTCAGCCTGCCATTGCTTAACCCTCGGGTTTCCAAACTCTGTGCCCGTGACATTGGTCTGTGCAATGCAGATTTCAAAAGCTAGTAAGAAGGTTTGTAAGGCATGTTGCAGAAAAATGCATCACCGTGTCAAAGAACCATGTTCCAGGAATTGGACACTTCATTGCAAACAATTTGCTTTTCTTTGCTAATCAGTGTGTTTCAATAATTATTGCAAGGTCAGATACAAAGTCATGCTTTATGGCAATTCAACCCTGTATTTTTTTGGGTGTGCTCTGGAGTTAAAGGTAAAAATGCACTGTTGGGGTAAGCCCTGTGTGAACAGAAATAACAAAATAACTCACTCCCACCTCTACAATTCTACAGGATTATTGCTCTCTTTCCAAAAAGAGATGTGGTCCACCTCTTAAAATCAGGTATGGTTTATCTCATGCAGCTTTTCTGAAGTCTCCTATCCAAAACCTCCACTTCAAATCTTAGTGCCTCATTATTGTCTTTATCAAGCTCATCTTGTCCTGCATGAGGTCAGCCATTATCTATATTTAGCAATCAATTCTAGCCAACTTCCATTTATCATTCAATGTGGCTATTTTCTCAAGATGCAGTCAACTAGATGTCTAAAAGGTCACTAGAGAATGTAAAGAAAGCACGGAGGACCCAGCCAGAGATGGAACAGAAATGCATGTCAAGAAGGAGAGCTAAAACCTTAAGTTTTAGCTTATCATACCTCCTAGGCATGACAAAACCATGTAGTGTAAGCAAAGATTTGACAGCTTCTTCTAGGAGTACTCTAAAGGGACAGGTGACTATCTGAACACCAGGAGGCTGAACTTTTGGGCCGACAATAATGGGGAATAAGCCTGATCCTGTGGGTAGAAGTGGGGAGGGCAACCTGTCAGCATGTGACATCCACAAGAGCACCAAGTGTCCCCAGGCTCCATCCAAAAGAGTGCAGAATCAACCAACCTTGGTGGTGACTTTTCAGGAGCAGGACTTATAAATGCTTAATCTCGGAACAATGAGCCCTTGGGTTTGTTTGGCACCAACACACTGCACCTAACGGCACAACCTGTACCTTCATTTTGGTTCCAAAAGGCCACAGGAGGAGCTGTGGCGGCCGCTCACCTCTCCCCCGTGGAGAAGACGAACTTCCTAAGCTTCAGGTCCCCCAGCACAATAGCAGACTGGTGGCAGTGGGCAACGGCGGACACAATCTGCTTGAAGAGCCGGGCAGCCTCCTCTTCCCGCAGCCTCTTCCGGCTTCGCACGTAGGAGTGCATGTCCCCAAAGTCTCTCTCGAAGAACACGTAGGCCTTGGTTTCCCCAAGGATCACTTCCACGATGCCAGTGATGTTTCTGTGCGATGGCAGCTGGATGTAAGGCCTGATTTTGTCCTGGTAGTGTTTAATGGGAAACACCTGCAGAGAGAAAGTGGCCCATTTAGGGAAGCTAGAAAAGCAGGGACTGTCTCCCCAACCCCTTAGGGAGCTGGGCTAAAGTTCTCCAACTCTGGGCTTTGGATAACAGTGAGCTCCATTCATACATCCCCTTATCTCAGCCACATCACCGTATGCAGCCCCAGCTTCCCCTAACACCCTTAAAACCAGTCACACCCAGGGCTCCGCTCCAGCAAACAGCCAAAGGTACAGTCACACCCCATCATGCGGATAATCTGAAAGACCATCTTCCATACATGCTCTCATCGTCCATGAGAGCTAAGCCCCCAAACCCACTTCTGTGCTTCCATGAATGCAGATAATACTGTGGGTGCCCCAGGCTCCTCAGGGGCTGGAAAGCAATCCCCAGACATGCATGTTTCTCCTGCCAGCCCCAAAGGGTTCAGCACAGAGAGGGCACGGAGTGTGGTGACTCCGTAGCCTCGAAGGGGAAGCAGGGGCCGCAGAACATGCAGAGCTGTCATTAGTCAGAGGAACAGATGACTGGGAAGGAGAGACGGTGACAGCGCAGCCTTGAGCAACCTGCCTACAGCTGTGACTCAGGTGCAAGTAGCCTTGAGTTACATTCTCACCGGAGGGGAGGGCACCGGAATGGTCTTTTTTCTTTTCTTTTTTTTTTTTTTTTTGTTTCTCCCCTCCCACACACCAGCCCCACCCCCAGAGAGGGCAGCATCCCTCTAAGAAACCGGCTGGTCCCTTTAAGGGCCTTTTGTTCAGTCCAGTTACTCATATCCTAGACTCAACTGGAAATGGTGACACACGGGTTGTCACCATCTGGATTCAGCTATTATCTGCTCGGAGGAACTGGAAGGGGTTGCACAATGACCAGACCCACCCCACCTCTGAGGTGGCTGCGCTGGCACCAACTGGAAAAATCCCTCTGCTGCCCTTTCCTCCTGCCCCACCCACCTTAACCCCCCCAACACACACACACACACACACACACACACACACACCTCCCAAAACAGCTCAGCCCCCAGTCACCCAGAAAAGATTTCCCCCTTTAACTTGGCTTGCTCATGCCACTTGAAATTTCACGCGGGTGGACGGTAGGTGGCAGCAGCAAGCCCTGGGGGCTGGAGCGGGGAGGGGGGCGTCAGGTGAGTTGAGGGAAACCCAGAAGCAACTTTAACTGGGGCTACAAAAGAGCAGCCCGGAAGGTTCTGGGGGTGTCCGACGGTGAGAACCGTCCGCGTCTACGCGTTGCAGAAAGACCGGGTGGATCCTGCTTGTAGCAGACGTACCTCCTCCTCCCGGACGGGATCCCTTATTCCAAAAGGAAATCGTTGGCCAGAAAATAAAGTGAATGGAAGCGAGGGTTCCTAGTCAGAGTGGGCTTTCCAGCATTTCTACTCTGGCCCAATTCCCCGGATTAGCTGGAAGGCCCCCCACAGACGGCTCCCTTGAGAGGGCAGGGTCCTAGTTCCAGCGCGGGCTCAAGTCGGAATCCCCTGGGTAGAAGCCCGACACGATCTTCCACCTACAGCTGAGCCAGGGTGCCGTGCACCTCCGGCAAGAGAGCTTCCAGCTGCTCCGAGCTCCGAGGAGGCACCCACAACAGGGCGTCTTTCCAGGACGGGCGGGGTGCGGGGGGGGGGGGGGGGGGGGGGGGGGGGCGAAACGAGGGGAATGAGAGAAGGGCAATGGCATGGCCCTGGAATCCATTTCAATTCCACAACTTATATGGAACGCCACGCGCTAGCTAAACTGGGCGCCAAGGAAAGGAATCCAGAGAGACAGCAATTGAACCCGGCACTTCCTCTTGACCGCCGAGCCCCCATTATACCACTCCACAGGAAACCCTTCGATTTCCAAAAGAGCGACCCTGGCCAAATGAGGCCTTATGGAACTCAACCCACTTATCCGCCCTGCCCCAAACTCTACTTTGGGCGCGGAGAACCAGACCCCAAGCACCTTTGCCCACCACCCCGCCCCGCGCCCCGGATCCCCGCCGGGTCGGTCCCGGACGCCTACCTTGCAGCGCAGCTCGCGGCCGGTGTGGATGCATAGCGCCCGGGACACATGCTCGCGCTCGGCTAGGGGCAGCAGCAGGTAGTCGGCTATGCGGCTGGGCCCCGGTGCGCTCCCGGAGCCGCTGCCGGCCCCTGGAGCGGTAGGAGGGGGCTGTGGGCTGCAGGGCGAGCCGGGGGGGCTGAGGTAGTCCGGGGGACTGGAGCACTCGGAGAGGCGCGGGCACTTGGCAGCCACCGCCGCCGCGTCGTCGGAGTCCAGCAGGCGTTTGGCTGGGTTGCCCCGAGTGGCCGGGAGGAGCAGGGCCGGACCGCGGGGCTGCGAGGCGCCGCTCATGGCAGAGCGCACGGGGCCAACCCTCATCGCGTCCGCGGCCGGGGCGGCCCCGGCTTCGTACGTCCCCTGCTCCGCGCAGGAAGGTTCTGCGGGCTTGACGCCGGCGCTGCGACTCCTTCCAGCCCGCGGGATGGAGTTTGCAGATCCGGCTTGGCTCGGCCCCCAAGAGGGGCAAAGCGGGAGCTGCTTCTCCGCGCTCGCTTTGCACGCGGAGACCACGCTGGCCGCGAATGTGGGGGTCGAAGGCCGGCTCGGGTCTCCGGACCTCCGATGGCACCGGTTCGAGGCGCCTCGCTAGGAGCGGCCGCCGCTATTGTTGCCGAGGCTGCCGACCGTCCCGAAGACAGAGGTGGAGGCGGCCTGCGTTCCCGAGGTTCTTAGCCGTGAGGACAGGATCCCGCAGGCTCGGCGGAGCCACGGAGCAAATGCACTTCCCAAAGCAATTAGTCTCAAGCAAAAGCCGGAGCAACTTTTCCGTGGCGCCCGGGATCCTGCGCGCTCCTGGGATCCGGGCTCGTGTGTGAGAGAGCGAGACGCGCTCGGAGAGAGTGACTGAGTGTGAGTGAGTGTGTGCGCCGCACTGATCCCGGCCAGTGCACTCCTCCTTCTCCTTTTCCTCCACCTCCTCCGCCTCCCGGTGACTCACGCTGTATACACACACACTCACAGGCCGGGCTGTGTAAACAGTTGGGAAGCCGGGTTGTGCAATGAGGTGGCTGCGACGACTCCGGCTCAGCCGCCCGGCTAGCAGTCACCGGAGCGGAGGGAGGAGACTTGGGGGAGGGGCGGTGGAGTTGGAGGTTGGGGGGATGGGGTGGCCAGAGAGCTGGGGATGCTCGGGGTAGCGCGCTCTCAGGCGCAGGTGGTGTGTCCCGCGCCGTCTTGGGCGCGCGCACTAGCCTCTAGGGCTGGGCTGGGCAGGAGGCGGTCGCGCGCCCTCCCGCAGGCCCGGGCTCCGCGCTGAAAGCCGAAGGGAGGGGGCGGAGGAAAAGTTCCCGTGACGTCAGGGTCCCGGGGAAGCGGGTGGAAGGGGCGGGGCTGCGGAAGGCGAAGCGACAGCTGATTGGTGCGCGCGCCTCATTCACAGCAACACAATGGGCTACGGGCGCGCGCACCTCGGGTCTCTGCACCCGTCGCTGGCCGCAATCCTGCAGTTACTCTTTTCGCCCAGGGGATCCCCCCACACTCTACGCCTGGGGCGCTCCTGTTGGAGCCGTGGGTGCCGTCGAGGCCCGGCTGCAGCCGGAGGAAGTGAGGAGAGAGAAGGTGATGAGTTCCAGAATCAGTCATTCACCCCCACGCGGTAGTTCCGGGGAAGACCTGTGCGTGGTAGTGGATGTGGCTTTTTTTTTCCTTTTCCTGCCCCCTCCCATCTCTAATCCCCAGCGTCTGTTCGCTTCCACAAATAGAACCTTCTGTTGGTTGAAATAAAAGCAAACACTGGGCCTTCTGCGCTGCTTCCACCTCCACGCCCCTCCCGCGCGCGCCACCCGCTCGGATTGCACGGAAATAGCTTCTCCTGGCTCCCTGGCCGCCCCTTCGCGGTGACTCGCAGAAAAAGCTTCCTGAGCCGGGGCCGGTGGGAAACAAAGGATGTGGGAGCGAGCGGAAGGGGCCCACGTGGCCGCCGGATTCCTGCCCCCTCTGCCTACTCCACGCGCGCCTCAAGGTCTAGGGCCCCAGTGCAGCAGCCGGGGTATCTGAGTAGGTGGTTAGCGGGTGGAAATCATTCTGACCACAGCCAGGGATACTGCTTGCACCCGGGAAACCAGGCCAGGTCGCATGCATGCTCTCTAGCAACTGATTTGGGTGAGCTTGAAACCTGTGCCAGACCTTGTGTGGAGATCCATAAAAACAAGAATCTTTCTTGAGAAAACCAGGTCAGTTTGGAGTCCCTGGACGCCCAACATAGATAACTATTATCAAAGTCCTTCCTTGCACTTGCTGCTAAATACTTAGTTTTTTAAACCAGGTCACATCCCAAGAATAAATGCTTTTTCATATTAATTCTCCATTCATTCAACAAATGCTAATTAAGCATCTACTAAACGCTAGACTCTGGGGGCTAGCAGATGATTGAAATAGTAATAATAGCATCAATTGAGTCCTAGAACATGCAGGGCTTAGGACTTTGCATGCTACTTCAGTTTTATAACCACCCTATGGGATTATTCTCAGCCCCATTTCACAGAACAAATTGAAGACTTGTGGTTAAAAAGCTGTCCTCCAGTGGTGGAGCAGCCAATCTCTAAAGCCCTCATGAGAACTCCAAAGAGAGATGACAATTTGTAGGGAAGAGAGGAGTTGGTGGGCCCCCAGAAGGAAGCATTTGACCTGGGAGATGTGTGGGACTGTGAAAGCCACAGTGGGGGAGGTGGGGGGGGGCGTGGCCAGGCTGGCTGTGATTCAGGGAAGGGCAGGTTTATTTAAGGAGGGTGGCAGGCCAGGGCAGCTGCCAAGGGGGTGGGGAGCTGAGCCTGCAGAGGTCATTTTGGACCACATTGCAAAGGGCCTCAACCCCAGGCTGGGGAGGTTTGGCTTGGTCCTTTGGCCAGGAGGGAACCTTTTTGAGTTTTCAGCTTGTGTGCCAGAATCTGAGATCCACTGAGCTGCCTCTGCTCCTGAGTAGCCGACCCAGTGTGGCCAGCCTGTGAGCAAGTACCTCACCTCCCTCCCAAGCCCCCACCCCACCCCCAAGGCCAAGCATTCTCCCTAAAGTGTCCCTGCTTCTTCTCTCCTGCGGGCGGCAGGTCACTGGGACCACCAGATCTGTTTGCTCTCAGAGCCACCCCCTCAGGCTCTGCTCCGTGCTTTTGCCCTCTGGCTTCCTGGAGAGCTCGCCCTTGCCCCTGGGAAGCCCTGAAGGGATATGGCAGGCCAGAGGCAGACAGAGGCCGGCTTACTTCTTCCCTCCTCTCTAGTTGGGGCTGCGGACCACGCTGTGTCAGGTACAGCCTTCTCTGGCCAGGCCCCCTGCTGTGTGTCTCAGCTGTCCCACTGGAACCTCCACCCACCTTTCAGGACTGGTTTATCCCCCTGGGGCTGCTGGGAGTGCCGAGCAGGAGCCATTTTGGAAACTGCCTTGACTGAGAAAAGCCACTTGCCCAAGACCATGCTCCCTTTGGGGTGAGGGAGATGGGGGGGTCCACACTCAGTGACTCTAGGGAGAGAATAAGATCGGGTCCTCTTATCCCAGCCTGAGTCACCTCCGAAGGGTACCCCAGCCTCAGAGGTCCTAGAAAGGTCTACGGAGGCCCAGCTTCTCTCTCTGCCTGGTCCTGCCCCCATCCTTTCCAGAACATCCCTGGAAACCTCCCACAGGCTGGTCCTCATCTCAGGATCCGCTTCCTGGGGAACCCCACCTGTGACACGCCCTCTTCTTGATCCTGGTTTCCTCCAGGGACTCCTTTCCTGGGTCAGGTGACTGGCTTTGTCTCCCGCCCTAGGGTGGCTGCAGCCTCTTCTTGTTCCCAGTCGGTGAGTCACCACGGCCTTGCTTTGTTCTGCCTGGTTTCTGCTCTCCTAACACCTTCGTGACTAATTCCCTACATGACCATCTTTCTACTGAGCTTGTCAGTCTGGGTTCCATTCTCCGACCTGGCTCCTGACCCGTAGAAACCCGGTGCCCTTTTCTTGTCCAGCCCACTCCATGCCCATTGTCTTAGTTCAGGACCTTCCCTGGGTTCCCACAGTGAACTCCTGAGGCACTGACGTCTCCCTTCAGCAAACAGTGAGCGCCTGCTCTACACCTGTGTGCCTACTGAATGTGACCACTACAGTGGGCATAAAGCAAAACCTGTCCTCCTCCCCTCATTCCACTCCCCACACAGCTGTCAGAGTAACTGTCCTAGAATTTGAACTTGATCACATCAGGCCCTGGCCGCCCGCCTGCAGGAACTCTCAGATGAAATCCAAATGCCACAATGTACAGAAGCAGGGCCTCCTTCCAGGTCCACTTCCCTTGCTGGCCTCACTTTTCTTACCTCCTGGCTTCTGTTCTATCCACACCAGCTCCGGACAGAGCCCTGTCAATTCCCACGTCTGCATTTTTGACTGTGCTGATCCTTCTCCCTGGATTTTCCTCCCCTCCCCAACCAACCTAAGAAACTCTTACTCTGGGAAGCTGAGGCAGGAGGATTGCAAGTTTGAGACCAGCCTCAGCAACTCCGTGAGGCCCTAAGCAACTTGGCAAGACCCTTTCTCAAAATAAAAATATAAAAAGGACAGGGGAAAGTAGCTCAGAGGTAAAGCACCCCTGGTTCAATCTCTAGTTTAAAAAATCATAATAATGAAGAAACTCTTACTCATCCTTCAAAGCACAGCCCAGACCCTTCCACACCTGCAGTCAGATGTCAATGTCCTCTTGGCTGCAGAGGACATTGACCACCCTTTCTATTCAGCTGAGTTCCCAAAAGGCAGGGTGACCCCTTATGCAGTCATGTGTCTCAAGCCCCCAGCCGAGTTCCGGGATAAAAGAGGAGCTCAGGAAGTGCCAGGTGGATAAACATACTAAAGGGCAGAATTACCCATGGGGAGAGCCCGAGATGAGAGCGAAAGCCAGCATTTGGGCAGGGATGGAGACTAGAGATGAGGACACAGAGTTCAGAGAGTTCAGGCGTCAGCCCTGGAAGGCAAGGGGCTGTCAGTCATTGGCCAAAGCAGAGGCTTAAACTTTGGGGCCTCTGGCCTGTGTGCCCAGGAGGATGCACAAGGGCCTTGCAGGGCCCGAGACCAGGGAGGCCGAGGGACAAGTAAGCTGAGATGGTCTTGATTTCAGTTCTGGGGCTTTCTCTGCTGACATCTGAACTAAGCTTCCATCAGACTCCTCAGATACTAACCTAAGGAAGCCAGTTGCTCTTCACGTGCCTCAGTTGCCTCACCTGCAAAATGGGCATAACAAAGACCCACTTTTCCTCCCGTAGGAGGTCCTTAACGAAGTGACAAATAAATATATACGTAAATGATGTGTGTTAATTAAGAAGGGGTTCTTCCCGTGTCAAGGATCATTTGCTTTATACAGGGCTCCACTGCAAGCTGCCGTCAGCAAGCTTTTAAGTGCATTTAAAGGTGGCTCTGGAAGCCAGAATCACAGCTGACTGCGTGTGTGTGCATGCATGTGCACGCGTGTGTGTGTGTCTCAGGTGGCCTCAGTACTATGTTAAACGGATACCAGATGCTCACCACATGTAAATTGGGGAAAAAATTGATTTACCTCCAACTTTTCAGGAACTCGCCTGTTACGTAACACGGGGAAACCTGCATTGATTTTCCAGGACAAGGTTGGGCTGCTGATGAGCTCAGGCTTGCTTCATTCTCAGGGTGCCCAGCAGGTGCCCGGCGGCAGCCCTGGAAGGTTCTGAGGATTCTGGTCAGTGTGGGGTTCAGGGGAATTCTTAGCAGGGAGTTGTTAGTGGGACACGCGTTGCCATCTCCATCTCCCTGCCCACTGTACACAGGGCAGGTGTGGGTTGGGTGCATTTTGTTCCCTGATCCTAAATTAAAAAAAAAAAAAAAAAAAAGAATGAAAAATTTTGGGAACATATTTAGGGAAGATGGTATTTCAAAAGCTAGGAAAGATGCAAACATGGATGATGTTCCTGCCATATACTAGACTCTTTCTAGTGGTTTAATGTTCAAATCAATCTTATAAAACAGTGATTATTACCACCATTTGTACAGATGCAC